GCTTTTGGGTCTGAACGGAGACCTGCGAACTCCATGGAAGGAACTGAGCAGTAAGTTGGCAGCCAGGCTGGGAGAGGCTACTTCCAGGCCGTCTGTAGGCTTCTACCTGCAGCACTTCTGCACCTCTAAGGTGTTAGGAAGTGTTGAGGCCAAGTAAGAGAGTGAGTGAGGTGGGTGAAGACTCACCTGGCCAGGCCACCAAGCTGTGGAAATAGTGCTCTTGGTGGCCAGGGGCCCCATAAGGCCTAGGGACTAAATGTCAGGGCTGGCGGGACAGCCGGAATGCCCAGGCACAGGCGACAGAGGGTCAGTGTTGTCTCCAGCACCTGTCAGAGGCACACTAGCAGGGGATCTACAGGTGACTTGGGCTCACCTAGGGCAGCAGCAGAGTAGACAAGCTGAGGAGCCAGGTCCAGAGGCAGGGAGCCTGGATTTGCAAATTTCTTGGTTCCTCCATGCCTAGTTTCTCAACTGTAAATTGGGATATTACCAGTGGCTGCCTCAGACTGTTTTTGTCAGGACTGAGGTGACAACACTATACAGCTGGGCATACTGCTTGTCAGGACAAAGTATACCCTCTAGTAAGCACCAGCTATCACAAGGTTCTGGACAATTTCATACTCTTGGAACGTAAGATCCTGCCCCCAGGGTCCCTTGTCCTCACCCCTGACAGCACTAACCTAGCTAATAAGGTTGGAGGAAGAGGACACTGAAAATCACCCTTCCAGAGAAGCACTTTCCTCACATTTGTCTCAAATGTGCTACCACCAAGTTATTTCTTCTAGTACGTTCCTTCCCAATATGGAACTCCTGGCAGGAATATTGTCATCATCTTGGAACACACAGGAACAAGCCAGTCCACTGGTCACAGAAGGGACAGGAGGAAAGAAGGCTGAAAAGAGAGTCAACAACAGCCCTTTGGTGATGGAATGAAAACATAAAAAGAGCATCAGGTCTCTGGAAGGAGCCCTGAGATGCTGGCAGTAATGGTGCCTTGTGGAGTTTCAGGAGGACAGCAGAATGACTGAAGACATCTTTTCACTAATATCTTTTGCTACCAGCCACATGGGTTACCTAATCAACAAATACTAGCAACATAGACATTGAAGCACAGGTTTGTGATGCCAGAACTTAGAAGGCTGAGGTAGGACTGTGAGCTATGGGCTACACTGCAAGATTCCCATCCCAAGGCAAAATAAAACAAGACAAGGATTTAGAAAGCCAGGAAGGGAAGAACAAGGTTCTATCCCCACAAATCTCCAACCATCCTGACAGGAGCTCCTGGAATGCTTCTACACAGTCAAGGGTCAGAGAGTGCATGCCACAACAATTGCCCTTGGGAACCATTCAAGGAGGGCACAGCTTCCCTGATGTCAGCACCTCCTCCACAGATGTGTGAAGTCCACAGTGAGCAGAACAGAGATGGGATGTCTTAATCTTACTGCTAGACACTGACAAACTATTTCTATCCCATTGGGCAGAACCCAGCAAAAAGTCAAGGAAGAAAATTCTGTTCCAAGACCTGCCATGAAGCACACAACATATCCTTCCCCTGAAGGTTAGGAGGTTCATGGGCACTTCCCAAGAAAGCACCTAAATCACTGTCATTGTCCCTAAATATCACCACTCACCTTCCACCAATTTTCCCCTTTGAAAATGTCACTGCATTTTGTGGGAGGGGTTTTTTGTTTGTTTTTACTTTATTTGCTTGTTAGTATTTTGAAATAGGGTCTTACTCTATAGTTATGACTGACTTAAAACTCACTTGACACTGACCTCAAACTTGCTGCAATCCTCCTGCCTCTACCTCCCAAGCACTTTTAGAGATACCCAGTTCATGGCACTTTGTTACAGCTAGTTGCTCTAGGAGACTGACAGAACCCATCGCTTGGCTTCCCTTCCCATCTATCTACCCATGAACTCTTCTGCCCAGTGGTTAGCTGCCAGTCAGACACTGTCCCCAGTATGTCCACCTCAGTAGCACCTCCCATCTTACAAGGCTCTGACTGAAATAAACAGTTCCACAGCAAATATGCATTGAGCACATACTACAAGCCAGCCGCTGTTCTGGCCATGTCGATACAAGCAGCAAACAATGCAAAGATAATAAAAATATTTTTAAAGAAACAAGGTCATTTCTAATACAGATAAAGAATAGTACAACATGCTGAAGGGAATGGGCTAGGGACCAGGGGAGACAGGCAGACCATTTTGACTATTAGGGAAGATCTCATTTAACATGTGATATAGGAGTGGCGACCTGAATGTCAGGAAGGTGGCTACAGGGAAATCTGGAAGGAGGAACAGCCAGTGTACAGGCCCTGTGGCACAGCGAACTAGACATCCTTATGGAGGGATCTCTGGGAGTGACTGTGTAGCTGTTGACACTGGAGAAACAGGTGAGATTAGTCAGTGAGTGTATCACTGTCTGGCAGCCTAAGGGAAGTTCAACCTGAGAGGCCATGTCATTCTTCATACTGAAGACTTTCTTACTGTACTGTTTGTCCTTTGCTTCTTGGGACCTTACCAACAACAGTTCTGAATGTCCTGTAATTCTGCCCATCAAGATGTTCCTGGCTTACCAGTCCCAATTCCTGCACCACCGTGGTGAGTACTCTGGATGGCTTCCTGCGACCTTCATGAAAAGAACAGAGACTCCGAGGCATGCAGTAAATGAAACCTTTCAGGCCAGACCTTGGCTTTGATACATGTGCCCAAGACTGCCTTGGCTTTCAATCCAGCCTGAACTACAGACCTGCAGAGACAGATAAGACACAAAGCAACCCCCCCAAGTCCTGTGGTGCTGCCCAGATTTAGAGAATTGGATAAAAAGCTTGCTCTGCCCTAACAAGAACAGCTGTGTACGCTAAAAATAGAGAGAGGGAAAAAAAAACGCCACAAAACCTCAAACAATGCCACGTACAAAGTCTAGGTGAAACCAGCAGAGCCAACAGCAGCTCCCTGGATTTTACAACGTTTCTCTTCCAGGTGGGAGGAGGAAATGCCACTAGGGCAGGTCTCCCTAGAACTTCCATGCTGTCTTGCATCATAACTGAGGACACCTGGCCTGTTTGGAAACACTGGGCACTTGAGCAAAGATGCTCTGCAATGCACTTCCTACTGGCTTTCTCAAAAGTCTAGAAACAAATCTGGTTGCCACAGAGGATGTAGGCAGAGGTAAGGTGAGCTGGCTGGTCCACCAGGCTGTCATGGGGCAAGGAAGGCAGGGAAGAATGCTCCACTCAGCATGCCCCACAGCCCAGCAAGAGGCATAACCTACTCAGACCCATCTCAGGTCCCCTTGGGTGCTGAGCTACTATATTCAGCACTTGGAGCAACTGTTACTGTGGAGCTTTCTTTGCCTCCAACAGTTAAGTGGCCCTGGACAAGCGAGTCTTGTTTTCCTCATCAGGAGGAATGCCATCTACCATTCCCAGATTAATGGGGATTACTAAATGCTCCTGTTGAAAGTACTCTGTAAACTACCAAAGCAAGAGGACACGGTGACAGTGGAAGTCACCCTGCTATTGCTGTTCCTTCCTGAAGTGGGCGGTCACCATGTTCAGCTTTGATTCCTGTTTTTAGACTGGGTCTTGTTATACAGCCCAGGCTGGTCTTGAACTCATGATACTCCTGCCTCAGCTTCTGGAGTGCTAATATTACAGCCTATGCCACTTTACCTGGCTTTTGATGTTTCATTTCTTTTTTAGGAGTTGTTTTTATTATTTAATTGTGTGTATGTATGTGAGTGTAGGTGCTTGAGAAGGCAAAAAGAATGTCAGATTCGGTGGAGACAAGGTTACAGGTGGCTGTGAGCCACCTAAAGTGGGTGCTGGAAACTCTGGTCCTCTGTAAGAGCAGTATACACTCTTAACTGCTGAGTCCTCTCACCCGTCCTGACATTTCTTTTAACCTGATTATTTTCCTCTTGCAAAAGGAACGCAGAGAAGGGAGAGAAGGAAAGAAAGCCAGATATTCACATGACCTGCCCACTTTATAGCTCCCCCAGGGAGGGGGCTGTCCTAAAAGAAGCTCCCTCAGCACCATTTAGGGTTTCTATAAAACGACTAACCCTTGAAGAAATAACCATGCCATGAAGATAAAACTGCATTTAGCATCTGTGGAGATACCTCACTTCGATTTCTTTAAGACTTGTGATATGCTCATCTCCCTGCTTATGCTTGTGACATTCTCAAAAAATAGGAATCCACTCCACATGAACTGATACAGACCATCCAAAAGCCAACCACGGCAAGGAACTTGTGGGACACAGCGGACACTGACACAGCCCACTATTGCCAACCAAGAAATCACCAGTGTTTGAGGGGAAAGAAAAACTCAGATGCCAACTTTTTCCAGGAGTCCATCTAAACAGCTTATCTGCCATCTTGGTCCTCAAAGGCCTAAATCTCTCTATCTCTGACCACAGTGTGGGAGAGAGGAAAGGGATGTCCCTCTCTGCTCCTGTCCTGGGGTTCATGCTGTGCCTGCCCTGCTTTCAGGATTAGGGAGGAGGCAGAAAGGGATGAATCAGAACCTCAGCATCGGGTTACAGGCTGGATCTCAGCCTGGCGAGGGCAGCCCGGCTTGACAGCTGCCAGCTCACCTCTACCTCTGACTCACCACCCGGACAGCTCCACGTCGGGGGCCAGCCCGTGCCAGCGCACCTGTGCCGGCAGAGCCGCGCTCCCGCTCATTCTGTAGGTGCAGCACTTGACCGCCGAGCCTCCTTCCTCCTCCCCTTGTCCCCTTCCCAAGTCTCAACCCGCAAATCCGGGGAGCGCAGACCAGGGCAAGACAGGGTCGGATCCTCCCAAATCCTAGAAGCAGCTTTGGTGCTCGAGCCTTCCCTGGTGGCCCCGCACAGTCGTGGCCTCAGACCGGCTCGCCGGCTCGGCAGACCCCGCACTGAGGCTGGCGGAGTGACAGCCCTGCCCGCCGCACCGACCGTCCAGCCGACCCGCCCACGCCGCCAGCGACCCCTCCTCACGCTTCCTCACCCGTCCCCGCGCAGCCACGCCGCGCAGCCCCTCGCGAGCGCAGCACCGCAGCCCAAGGCCCTCTCACCCCGGCGGCCCGCGGGACCCGGCAGGGGGGGCGGACGCCGTCGGGTCCGCAGCTGCTGCGAATGCGCCGCGCGCGACGAGCCGTGCCCGGTCCCTCTGAGGCACGGAGGAACCAGCTGTCAGTCAGCTGGGCTCTCCCCGCCCCTTTAGCGTCACGTGACGCGCGGAGCAGCCGGGTCCTTCGGAGGAGTCGCGGAGAGCGCTGTCAGTCAGCCGGGAGCGCCCCGCCCAATCCCGCCCCCCACCCCGCGTGACGCGCCAGCTGCGGGGTTCTCCAGAGCCCAGGAGTGAGCGGGGCGCCCCGCCTCTGGGGCACCACGTGACACGCGAGCAGTCCCGTTCTTCGGAAGCCCTGTGAGCGAGCTGTCACTTTTGCGGGGAGCGAGGCCTCTCTCGGCTCCCGTACGCAGGCGCAGGAGCGCCCTTCGTCCCTGCGCCGCCTGACTGACTAGGAACAGAGCTCCTGCCGAAGAATGACCAGGGCGCGGCTTTTTTTGCGCTCAAGAATGGTTTGGGAGAGGGAAAAGCTCCTCAAGGAGCGAGGCCCTGGAGTCAGGTTCAGGTCACTTCCTGCCTGAGGTGGCAGAGTCCCAGCGAAGATCCCGTGGACATGCCTTTGACGGCGCGGGTAGCAGGCTGAGCCCCTGAAAGGTGTGTCTTAAAAGGCCGGTAGATTTGGCTCTTTTCATAAACAGCAATAAACACAACGCCCAGTCATACAGCTTCTCCCACATCTCTGCGATAAAGAAACACAAAGAGCCTGGGGGTGGAGCTCGGTGGCGGATTGCTGGCCCAGCACGACCAAGGTCCTGCGCCAGGAAGGAATAGAAATAGAAAACCAAGGCCGGTCTTCAGTTTTCCGAAGTCATGAATGCTAGGCAGTGGGATTGGAGTTCTGCCACTCAGGAAGATGATGTAGGTAGTGTGGTAACCAAGCACCCGCCCTTTGCTGACAACAGATGCGAACATCTGTCCCACTCAGACCTTTTGGGAAAGTTTAAGAGATCGTGAGGAAAGGGCGGGGAGCTGCTGTTGCTAGAGAGTTTGGGACATTCCAAGTGTGCATGGCCACCCCAAGAGAAACTAGACCTCCGGGTGAGAGAGCTTAGTGCCGGCTCTGGAGCGGGGAGGCTAGGTTGTAGCCTTCATCCTTGTGAGGACGCTCAGAAAACTTGCAGGGTGGAAGAGAATAGTGCTGGGGTTGAAGGAATCCACCCTGCGTCAGCGAAGGAAGATGGAGCTAGACACCAATTCCTGCAACCTTGACCTCACCTGGACAATGGTTGGAGAGAACTGAAATAAACGAACCCGTTAAGGGTCATATTCCATATTGAGAGACAACATTTTTCCTCAAGAGATTCAGCAGCACTCTGCCCTGCCTTCTAACAGGTCTCTGACCTCCTCAGGAAGTTGGACAGAGGCAGATGACATGGCATTTTGAAATGAGGAAGAACCTTCTGCAAGCCACAGACCAGTGAACTTAGTATCAACCTAAGAAGCGTTTGAGGCAGATGACTCAGAAAATATTTGTGACCCCTCTGAAAATGCAGCACTGAGACTTGATAGGCAAGGAGCGAGATATGAAGGATGAAAGAGATGGAAGCTATGTCTTCGTAGCTGTGTTCCCTGGCGGTCAGGATGCTCCTTTGCAGTAAACTTCCTTGAATCTGCAGATAGGTTGTCCATTTTACCAGAGACGAAGGTACCATACACCTTTCTCATTGCCATCCATGGCACTAACAAAAGGTCTGCATCTTCAAAAGACCCTTGCTTCATCATGCTATCATTTATTCCATGGTGCTACACTTCTCTGTGGGCTTTTCAAGAGGATCGTGGGAATATCCTAAAAGGGAGATCTGCCAAATTATGATTTGTAAGAAGAAAAGAGTCATCATCCCTAATAAATAATCATAAAATCTGCCAGATGGTGGCGGCACATGCCTTTAATCCCAACACTCTGGAGGCAGAGGCAGGCAGATCTCTGTGAGTTAGAGGCCAGCCTGGTCTACAGAGCTAGTTCTAGGACAGCCAATGCTGCACAGAGAAACCCTGTCTCAAACAACAACAAATAATAATAACAATCATAAACTCTTCGTTTAAATCCGTAGGCCCACTGGGTGGTTTCTTTTCTTCAGGACAGCCCACTCCAATCTTTCTCTGGAGCATAGCTTTGCTTTGCTGGATGAATTTTTACTTAAACTGCTCTTGACTCTCAACTGAATTCTTTCCTTTGAGAATACAAGAATAGACAGAGCTTGTAACAGCAACCAAGTCAAAGGTCACATGATGGTTAGTTTGCTTTATTTCCTGCTCAGTGAACATACATACATACATACATACATACATACATACATACGTGGCTGTGGTAGGAATAGCATCTCCAGCCAAAGGTAGGATGGTTAACCTTGGTTGTCAGCTTTCGTGGATCTGAGACCAACTAAGAGACAAGTCCCTGGTGAGGCGTGAGGGTGTTTCCCGGAAGGATTAACGTAGGGGGAAAGCCTCTTCCCCAGGGTGGTTGTCATCTTCTGCTGGGAGACTCACGTAAGAGGCGGAGAGAGAAGCAGTGCTGCTTTTGCCGGCCACCTTTGCCCCTTGCTGGTGGGCACATCTGTGCCATTGCTGCCGCCAGCCATTGCTGACATCAGAACCCAGCTTCTTTGGCCTTCAAACATGGACTTAAGACCAGCAGCCATCAGTGTCACATTGGGACTGCTAAGGTATCCAGCCTCACAGACTGAACCGCCAACAAGTTCTCACGCTCTCCAGTATGCAGGTGGCCATTGTAGGACTGAACCCAGATCAGACCTGCCTGGATTCTCCCCCTCATAAGCAAGGGACTCAATTTAAATTGCCCCTTTGAAGAGGGATCTGTGGGTTTTGGTAATTAAAAAGCTCTGAGGCAGGCCCAGCAGGATCTAGCAGGCACAAAAGATGTCACTAGAACTTATTTCTTCCTAACCTGCCTGTGCTGGATAGTTTTATGTCAATCTGACACAAGCTAGATTGTTCGGGAAGAAGGAATCTGAGTTGGGAAAATGCCCCACCAGATGGGCCCATGGGGCATTTTTTGGCTTGATGTGAAAGGGTCCAGCTCATTGTGGGAGGTGACACCCCCTAGGCAGGTGATCCTGGGAGCTATAAAACAGTAGCGGAGCAAGCCAGCACTCCACAAGGGTTTCTGCCTCAGTTCCTGCCTCCAGGTTCTTGCCATGACTTCCTTCAATGATGGACTGTGATGGAAGTTCAGTTGCTTTTGGTCATGGTATGAATCACAGCAACAGAAACCCTACAAGATACGGCCTACACTGACTTCTTCTCAGCTTAGGGGCTTTTCACAAAACGGCCTCGAGCAGCTCCAGGGTTATACTGGAGGAACACACCTTAGCTGCCTAGTGGACAGAAGGGGTTTTCTCTTTTGATTCTTCCAGCAAAATCTCAGAATTTGGTGGGAATGTGCCATCCCCAGAGCCAGTCTCTGAGGCCAGCTTACCAGGATAACTAACTGGATTGGACGAATGTGAAGAGCAGTATGGGCCAGCCCCATCATGCTGACTGGTAAAGGAAAAGGCGACTTCCAGGAACCAGAAGAGCAAGAAGTAACAGGCCCCAGGACAGAGCTCGCTAAGGTTACACCGTATCTCCCTGACTTCTGTGAGGCTTGCCTCATGGGGAGGAAAGGAATCAATGTCAATGAGGCAAAAGTGGAAGTGGCCAGAGATGGCAGGCCGCAAGGCCGGGAGGGGGACGGAATGAAATGCTAAGGGAGTGGGACGAGGGGAGGAAGTCTACAGGGGGCCTGTGTTTCAATCTAGTCTTAAGGGACATGGCAGTGAATGGGCCATGCAGGGAAGAGTGTCAAAGATAGGCCCAGATTTTAGAAGCAGCCATTACAAGCCCCAAGCATGCATAGTGAACCAACGCCTGACCTCCTAAGTACCTGACCTTCTAAGCGCATATCCTACCAAGTGCCCGATCCACCAAGCACCTGTCTCACCCCGCACCTAACCCACTTAGCACGCCACAAAAATAGGCTCTGCCCACAGGTGAGGCGAAGTGCCCAAAACAAAAGATTTGAGGAACACATTGCCCCACTTTGGGTTTTGACTTTCGGGTCCTTGCTCAACACTGTGGGGTGTGGAGTTTCAGTCATCAGGCCTTCCTAATCTGGCTGTTGACAAATTCACCCCCACAAACTCAGTGCAAAATGTCAAACAACCCAGGCAGCTTTCCAAAACTCTGCTTCCCCAGAGTGCTGTCTTGGGACTCTGTCTCTCCAGCTTTTGCTTAAGGTAGACATATGCCTTGTTGCTTAGTAGGTTCTCATCAAGAGAATACCCTGTCACAAGCACCCAGGCCACAAGGCAGATTATCATTGCTTCCTGTACCTCCCTGACTTTGCGGAGACTACTTTTGTGTGTTTTTTACAAGAATGCAGTATGCATTCTTGGCACTTTGACTCTATGTAACATCATGTTGTGTGACTTACGTTGTTGCCCGTGCTTTCCTTTTCATTTACTGGAGACTATTTCTACTTAAAAGGGTGTTTTTTGGTGTGTGTGCCAATAAACACATGAAGAAAATATCCAACCTCATTAGCCATCTGAGAAATTCAAGCCCAAAGACAGTGGTAGTCCATCACTCCAGCCAGAATGACAATCATTAAGAAAACGAGTAAGAAATGGTGGTGAGAATATGGAGTCCTTACGCACTGCTGGACATGGAAGCTAGTCCAGCCTCTATGGAAGTCCTAGTCATTACCCAAACGACTCCACATCAATATGTCACAGACACGTGTACACCAGTTTCTTGCAATACTGTTAACAACACTGGTCTTGGAGCCACCTGGATGTCCAAGAACAGAGGATAGCTAATGTGGGTCACACAGTGGAACTGTGTTCAGCCATAAAGAACAAAGCCATATCATTTTCAGGAAAATGAATGCAATGGTGATAATCACATCAAGTGAATCAAAATTGCAGAAAGATAAATATCGTATGTTTTCTCTCATTTGTGGATTCTAGATTTTTAAAAAAAGATTTATCTATTTATTTATGCAATGTTCTGTCTACATGTATTCCTGCATGCCAGAAAAGAC